CAGCAGGAACAACCTTGTTACTTTGGAAAGTGAATCCATTATTCATTGTATTAATGAATATATAACGGGGTCACATTTCATTATTTTAAATGTATTTCATTTGTATTTGACTTTAACAATATATATTATATTATATATATTATATATTTTCCTTTTTAAAACATGTTATTTGTAATCACTGAATTCAAAGTAATAAATAAGGTAGGGAAAAATCCTAAAATGTAATTATATCAGTATTTTAAAGTTACTTACTTCATTTTAATGTTTCTTACTTACAAACATATTTTTTTCATAATTTTTCACATTTGATAAAACATGGGTCTTACCATAAACTGTATATATAAAGGGTCTTACATATAATGGTATAAGGTCACCTATTATGCAAAATCCTCTTCTTCATGTCTCCTCTACATCAACATGTGTCCCCTCTTCTTCATGTCTCTTCTACATCAGCATGTGTCCCCTCTTCTTCATGTCTCTTCTACATCAACATGTGTCCCCTCTTCTTCATGTCTCTTCTACATCAACATGTGTACCCTCTTCTTCATGTCTCTTCTACATCAACATGTGTCCCCTCTTCTTCATGTCTCTTCTACATCAACATGTGTCCCCTCTTCTTCATGTCTCTTCTACATCAACATGTGTCCCCTCTTCTTCATGTCTCTTCTACATCAACATGTGCCCCCTCTTCTTCATGTATCTTCTACATCAACAATGTGTCCCCTCTTCTTCATGTCTCTTCTACATCAACATGTGTCCCCTCTTCATCATGTCTCTTCTACATCAACATGTGCCCCCTCTTCTTCATGTATCTTCTACATCAACAATGTGTCCCCTCTTCTTCATGTCTCTTCTACATCAACATGTGTCCCCTCTTCTTCATGTCTCTTCTTCATCAACATGTGTCCCCTCTTCTACATCAACATGTGTCCCCTCTGTGTAAAGAGATTCTGAAAGTTTCAGGAACAAAGATTCTCTCTCTTTTTGTCCTGGTCCATTTCTATAAAAACCTGTCTGAAAATGAGTTGATCAGATTTTGGCCACTTTGTGATGTCATAACGATGTTTTGGCTTGTGTAACCATTAGCCAATGAGCAACCAAGGTAACCCCCCCCCCCCCCCCCCCCCCCCTTATCACCTGAATCTCCTCTAGAGCACCATTGTGTTCTTTGTAACCAAATCTCTCTCAGAGGGGCGTGGGGAGGGGCTCCTTATTTTCATCTAAAGTAACAGACAGAGAATCAGCACTTTGGAAACAGGGCTGAAACAGAGGGGATTATGGGTAATGCTGCAATGATCTGTTTGGTGTTTGGAGCCAAACACTTCAGAGACATGTTTTGTATATATCTGACACCTATGATATATTGATGAAAAACTGTATAATAGGGGATCTTTAAATGTGTTGCTCTGTCATCAAAACAGTGTCTACGTTGGTTATATCCTCAGATTATGAGACATGACTCCAGTTTTCATACCGATACATTCATGTATAGTTCAGCTATTTTTTTAATGTCATGTTACTTATTAATACATTCTGTTAATATTGTGTATAATGTATAATCTTACCACCTTTAAAAAAAGAAAAAGGTTTATTTAGGGTAACATGCTGTAATCCGTTTTAAATAACCCTGTTAATTCTATAATCATTTGGTTATTTAAGCACAATTGTTTTGTTAATTGTGAATTGTTATCTGGTTTTAAAACAGTGCACTCATACTTAGAATGTATCTTTTGGCTCTTATTTTGAAATATATATATTTCTTAATAAACCCTGATGAATCCATGAGAAGAATTTGTGAGTGCTGGTCATGTGATTGCAGTCACTTGAAGTAGGTGTGATGGGGAGCCTCCCAGAATGCATTGGGGCCATAGATATGACAATCAGGGTTATTTGATCTATTCCCGTGTTGTTACTGAATGTTATTTTATTCCACATTGTGCTCCACAGTGTTTCAACACCTCTACCACAGTTTAACCCTTAAATAGTACCTGTTGATACACAAAGGGATGTTGGTGCATGATGTTATGGAGCCTGATACAAGTATTTCATAAGGCTCTTGCTTTGGATCACCAAGTGAAGACACGTTTTTATCAAGAGAAATTAATTTATTCTCTAATAACAAATAGAAGAAGAAGAAAGAGAAGAAGTCAGGGTATCACAGTTATCAATGTGGAATTAAAAAGATAGCAGCAAGAAAGACATTTTACAGTAGAACAAGAAACTACACGATACAGCAGGTCAATAAGTTTCACAAACAAGAGATATTTAAAAAAACAAACAGCTGAAGCATGATAATGTACTGCAGACTGTACATTTATACATTTTCAGATGCACATGGCACTCTTTCTTAGATGTATAATGAAAGAGAGTTGATATTAGGCGCTTTCACACCGGAGTACTTTTCCCAGGAATAGTACCGATAGTTCTTGGGATTTTGCGTTCACACCAAAAAGATCTGGAACTAGAACTTTTTGCGAACCTTTTCACCCCTTTTCAGTCCCTGCTATAGAGGTGGTACTTTCATGGGGAGAAGAAAAGGTTCCAATTTCTGATTGGCTGGGCGAACTGCAAATCACGCCCCGTAAAAAGCCGCCATTTTATTTGCTCGCATTAGCATTATTAGCATTAGCATTAGCCCAGCGCACCAACGGAGAGAGACTAACTTATGGCAACACAAAATAAAACGTGGGAGCGGTGGAGATGAGGAGGTGTCGGCGCTTCTGGCGATTTACTCCGGGGGGCTCCGGGACTTCGGGTGGCAGTATACGCCGTGAAGTTGTTTGCGTCCTGCCAGTAAACCCAAAGCAGAAGAAGAAGAAGTGACGTCAGCGACTTCATTTGCGTAATCCTCCATCAGGGACTTATTCCGGTGTGAACGCGATCTACTAGATAGTTCAGGAATTATTCCTGGGAAAAGTACTTGGTGTGAAAGCGCCTTTTATTAGGATTTTAGATGAGAACATGCAGGTTATTGAGAAATAATTATGATCTGTTGCTGTAATATCACAATTGTTTTTCACAATAAGAGTTCTACGGAAGCCCTGAGAGGCAGGTGGGAAAAAAATGCCTTCTTGTATTTATTATATTTGTTTAATATATTGTGTTAATAATGAACTTGTTTTGGCAGGTTAAGAAAGTATAACACAATGTTCTTATTAATGCTAAAATAAGCATTTATTTTGACTTGCCTCTCAGGGCTTCTTACCTTTAATTATACATGTTTAATTATACAGTAATATCATAAACAATACAAAACAAAGTAAGAAACTGAGCAGAAATACATTAAAACAAGTATTGAAAGACTGTCAAAAAGGCCAGCGGAGACAGAATACATGGCATTTAATTTGACATTAAAATGGGAATTTGTACTCCAACTGTGTGTGTAGTGAAGCTGATTCTTAAGAGATTTCAGTAAGGTTTAATATTCATAATATCTTTATAAATATAACCAAAATCATGCTCATTGGGAAGGTTAGTCATGCACCAACATCCCTCATAGTGTGACCACATTCTCACGTAATATTCAACAGGTAACGGTGAGGAAAGTGGAACATTGTGCAGCACTGCATCACCGAAATAACCCCAGTAACAGTACAGGAAAACAGACCATAAGTCATCTTTTGCCCCAATGCATGCTGGGAGGCTTCCCAACACACCTACCTCATGTAACTGGAATGTCATGATCAGTAGTGATGGGAATTACGGCTCTTTGAAGGGAGCCGGATCTTATGGCTCCGTTCCTTTCCGAGAGCCGTTCAAAAGAGCCGTTTTTTTTAAGGGGGCGGGGTTAATAGGTTTATCTGCGAAATAATCACCAGGATAATGATTGACTGTATTGCCAGAAATCTACTTTTACTCACAGAAAATGTATAACTTGCTACATCTCTCAGCCAGCCAAACTACTACTCAAGCAGCATGCCATCATCTATGGAACATTTGCACTCAGGAAAGCGAGTTCCCGTAAAGGCGAGTGGATTTATGGCAGGCAGTGAACTAACGATAAAAAGAACGGCTCTCACCAAGTACGACTTGGTTCCCTTCGTTCGTACCAAAGAGCTGTTCAAAAGAATCGGATCGTTCTCGAACGTCACATCACTAATGATCAGTAGTCGGCAAATTTCAAAATAAGAGCGCCTTTTCAAGATCATTTCAATTGGGATCAACAAATCAATCGAGCCAAAATAGCTTGATGAGGATTATTTTAAAGATGAATTATTTAAGTTACATTTGAAGAACAGGGGTCTACAAAATAATGCAATAAAAAACGCTTCAGTCAAGAAAACAAATTGGTAAACAACCTTCTTTTTTCAGCACAGTGCATTGAGTGAAATTATAGTTAAACACGTGAAATAATTAACAAAATATGTCTGTTCTTTGCATCAGTTACGTCCTTTACATCAGGTCATAGACTTCATCCACATCATGCCTACGTTTCTGTACAGCCTTCAGTACAAAAGCTGTGTGTGACAAATCCTGTCTGATGATTGCATAGTGTGTGTAAACCCCCGTTGAGAAAGGGAAGCCATTATTGGGTTTGGATTGGCCTTGAGTCTCTTTGTATAGAGAGACCGTGAGCAGAAGTGACACACAGAGAGTTCAGGGTCTGAGTTTGTGTTCAGTGTTTTGTAAACTGTGTTTCTTTGAGATGGTGGTGTGAAAATAAATGACCTGGTTTATGAGAACCAGCGAGGACTAAAGAAATAGATGATTTAACCTTGGGACCAGTGTCAGGATTAAAAGATGTTTTGAAGAGGTGCATCAGGTCGATGGAGGAAAACTGGTCAGCAGGTAAATTAAAAATAATAAAATATATATAATAACAAAAAAAAATTAAATCATAAGAAGTAAGAATGTGCAAATAAAATAATAAGATATTATTATTGCAGTATTATTATTATTATTTTTATGATTATTATTATGACTATTGTTGTTATTATTATTACAGCATTAATATACTTTTTTATTATAACTATTATTTGTATTGTTATAATATTATTTTTATTACAAAATTATTATTAAGATTAAATCAATAAAAAATATATGTATAGATAATAAGATTTTATTATTATTACAGTTTTATTAATTTTACATTCATATATATTCCACCACGTCTTTATATTTCATTTTTCTATAACTTTTTATTGCACATTCTTACTTCTTATGTTCATATAAATATATTTATTTTATTTAATTCTCAAATGCAACAACCGTCACAAAACTCACTTTTCCCCCAAATAAATACATAATTTCTGATTCCTTTTGTGGACAAGAACCTCACACTTCAAACGACTATCCCTGGTTAAATCTGTCTATTTCCCCGTTGTGTCAGAGACCTGACGCCTGAGCCTGCAGGAGTGACCTGCGGCGGCCATGTTTTTGTGGTACTTACAGGCGTTGTAGGCTTTCTTATGAGACAGAATCTCCACCACGTCTTTCTTTTTAAAGTTCTCCGGCAGGAAGGCTGGCTCTGGAGGAGACACTGATAATATTAACAACAGTGTAAGGATCCGTTCTCCAAGCACCGGGGGGGTCAACACACACACACACACACACACACACACACACACACACACACACACACACACACACACACACACACACACACACACACACACACACACACACACACACACACAACACACACACACACACACACACACACACCACACACACACACACACACACACACACACACACACACACACACACACACACACACACACACACACACACACACACACACACACACACACACACACACACACACACAGTCACACACACAGTCAAACACACAGGTGGCAGGGTGATGGGTTTATAACACAGCTCTGCCATTTCTGTACCGCTACGGGAAAGTATAATAAATAACAGTAAATTGCGTGTTTTCTGTAGCAGAGCTGTGTTATTACTAAACCCTTTCGAAGTATGAGAGGAGGAGGGGGGGTTATGGTGCCTTATGGAGAATGGATTTGAAGAACAGGTGAAAGGAGCGGCTCCAAAACAGGTTATGAAGAGCATCACAACTGTGAAGGTACAAACAAAACGGGAGATGTCAACAGATAAATACATTACTTTAAATGTAATTTAAGAACCCTGATGATTATAATGATGGTATATTAATAATGTATGACATGAAGCATGATGTAAATATAGAAGAAGCCCTGAGAGGCAAATAGAAAAGACTGGTGATCCTTGTTGGAGCTCCTGCCCCCCCCCCATGAGCCCACTGTGCTCTGATTGGTCAGCTCGCCCACTGTGTTCTGATGAGTCCACCACCGTTACAGCGGAACATCAGTGATTATGTGTCACAATGGCGTTTGTTAGCAACCAGGAAATGACACCAGTAATGACAAACAGATGAGAATGCTGCGTGGGGTCTGGGTGCCGTGTTGGCGGGACGTTGCGGGGCTCGCTGCTCCGCCCTTTGAGGCTCGAGGAGCGGACAGTGTGAGCTGGATTACTGGTGTCGTTTCCTGGTTGCTGCGAGGGGTCTGCGAGACAGCGACACACCGCGGAACTCAGCCTGAGCACACTTCAATTTGTGCAATTTCTGTGTTAGAGTTTTACTCGCTACAGGGTGTACTTTGAGGGTTTGTGACTTTGCAGAGCTACACAACACACAAGGGGACGGGTAATAACCGGAAAAGCATGACATGGGACCTTTAAGTGTTTGTGATAGCCAAAGCAAAGACATACGATAAACGATATGATAACACTTTCTATCACAAAATATCCTTACTGATATACTAGGAGTACACAGAGAAATAAAATATAATGTGATAGACAATGCATGTATTTATATCTAAGTTAGAAGTGTTATCCTGGCCAGAAAAAATAAAAGGTTTAAAATCACAAACACAGGAGAGAAAACGAATTAGATCACCTTGTTTTTTTGTCACTTGCCTCTCATGGCTTCTGTACAATAATGCTGCAGTAGGAGAATGAATGACAACAAGCACACAAATACTTACTGGATTGGCGTTGAGTCCCAAAGTGCAGATCAAGATCCAAATACTTCACCATGTCAGTGAGCTTGTCATAGTCCGAGTCCTCTCCGAGCTAAACACACACAAACACACACTCTTTAATCTCCAGTCACAAAGTCAAGGCTTGATTTTTTATTCAAAGATATCTGATAGGGTTATAAAGCAGGAGCAAAACGTCTGATAAAAGGTCCACCATGTATTCTATTTACAAAAACAAAATGCGTCCTACATGCTGCTGTGACTCATCAGAGAAACAACAGACTGCATGAGTAGGACTTTCCAAATATGGAAAGAGAAATGTAGGAGTGAGAAACTTCTCAGCCAAGGTGGGAAGATTCACAAGTTGTTGTTTACTGTATTCACTGTAAAGTAAGATTTCTTCAGACATGATTTTGTAATTGAATCACGTCTCTTCTCAGACTGATGAAGGGGACTCACCTGACCCCATATGGTCCCCTCAGAGTTCTCCACCTGCTCCCAGCGCAGACGCTTCACACTCATGTGGTTTGTGTCCGAGGCGTGGCCCGGTTTGGGAAGAGGAGGCGGCTCACAGGGGGGAGGAAGAGGAGGAGGAGGGGGCGGTGGTGCCTAGGAGATTATAATAATTTGTATTTATCAGTATATGGTCTTGTATAGCACAAATGCTAACAGCAGATCAACTACATGAATAGCAGGAAGTGCAGAAAGTACTACAGCACAAGTGATGCTTTAAAGGTCCCCTATTACACTGTTTTTCATCAATATATTACAGGTCTCAGATATATACAGAACCTGTCTCTGAAGTGTTTGGCTCCAAACAGATCATGGCAGCATTACCCATAATCCCCTCTGTTTCAGCCCTGTTTCCAAAGTGCTGATTCTCTGTCTGTTACTTTAGATGGAAATAAGGAGCCCCTCCCCACGCCCCTCTGAGAGAGATTTGGTTAAAAAGAACACAATGGTGCTCTAGAGGAGATTCAGGTGATAAGGGGGGGGGGGGTTACCTTGGTTGGTGATTGGCTAATGGTTACACAAGACAACACATCGTTATGACATCATAAAGTGGTCAAAATCTGATCAGCTCATTTTCAGACAGGTTTTTATAGAAATGGATCAGGACGAAAAGAGAGAGAATCTTTGTTCCTGAAACTTTCAGAGTCTCTTTCCACAGAGGGGACACATGTTGATGTAGAAGAGACATGAAGAAGAGGGGACACATGTTGATGTAGAAGAGACATGAAGAAGAGAGGACACATGTTGATGTAGAAGAGACATGAAGAAGAGGGGACACATGTTGATGTAGAAGAGACATGAAGAAGAGGGGACACATGTTGATGTAGAAGAGACATGAAGAAGAGGGGACACATGTTGATGCAGAAGAGACATGAAGAAGAGGGGACACATGTTGATGTAGAAGAGACATGAAGAAGAGGGGACACATGTTGATAGAAGAGACATGAAGAAGAGAGGACACATGTTGATGTAGAAGAGACATGAAGAAGAGGGGACACATGTTGATGTAGAAGAGACATGAAGAAGAGGGGACACATGTTGATGTAGAAGAGACATGAAGAAGAGGGGACACATGTTGATGTAGAAGAGACATGAAGAAGAGGGGACACATGTTGATGTAAAAGAGACATGAAGAAGAGGGGACACATGTTGATGAAGAAGAGACATGAAGAAGAGGGGACACATGTTGATGTGGAAGAGACATGAAGAAGAGGGGACACATGTTGATGTAGAAGAGACATGAAGAAGAGGGGACACATGTTGATGTAGAAGAGACATGAAGAAGAGGGGACACATGTTGAACAGTACACAGGTATTAAAGGCGTTACAACTGTTACGAATTGTGCTCGCCTGATCGAGAAGGTTGACTGAAAGGCTGAAAGCAAGGTAGAGCTGTGAGAATATTCTAAATATAACGTACACTTAAACTGATACTGACGTTTTAAAGTGTGTCTTCATACAGTAGGTGACCACAGCAATACATTTCTATACAAATACCGATGTTTGCTTTAGTTGAATCTTGTTTGTTTGAAAGATTTAATGAAGTAGTCTTGAAACACTTGACAAGAAGTAAAGAGCAGGTGAGCTTCCTAATAGCAGTTTAGTAGTTGTTCTGTCACTTTCTTCCATTTGCACATATAATGTGATGCTGAGAATAGCAAGAACACTTTACAGTAATTGCTTGCATGACGTCAATGCTTTTGTGACGTTTCTGTTGCTAGGTGCTCACTGCTGCATACACATGTATACAACTCTTTATGTGGTTTTAAAGAGGCCCTATTATTCTTTTTGGGGTTCTCTTTCAACACTTGCACTTCTATTGGCCAGAGCTTCAACACATTGTACGTGATAGGCTAAGGGGCGGGACATCTCTAAGCGGTTGACCAATCACAACAAGTTTCAGACAGAGGGTGAAAAGGGGTGCTGCAGCACAGGCAGTATGAGGAAAATAAAGAGCTTTTTGAACATTAAAGCATGGAGACATGTAGAGACACTAAATACTGATATACACCTGAACATCAGCAGGAGAGGACTCTTTAAAGTAGAGACACTACATACTGATATACACCTGAACATCAGCAGGAGAGGACTCTTTAAAGTAGAGACACTACATACTGATATACACCTGAACATCAGCAGGAGAGGACTCTTTAAAGTAGAGACACTACATACTGATATACACCTGAACATCAGCAGGAGAGGACTCTTTAAAGTAGAGACACTACATACTGATATACACCTGAACATCAGCAGGAGAGGACTCTTTAAAGTAGAGACACTACATACTGATATACACCTGAACATCAGCAGGAGAGGACTCTTTAAAGTAGAGACACTACATACTGATATACACCTGAACATCAGCAGGAGAGGACTCTTTAAAGTAGAGACACTACATACTGATATACACCTGAACATCAGCAGGAGAGGACTCTTTAAAGTAGAGACACTACATACTGATATACACCTGAACATCAGCAGGAGAGGACTCTTTAAAGTAGAGACACTACATACCGATATACACCTGAACATCAGCAGGAGAGGACTCTTTAAAGTAGAGACACTACACACTGATATACACCTGAACATCAGCAGGAGAGGACTCTTTAAAGTAGACACACTACATACTGATATACACCTGAACATCAGCAGGAGAGGACTCTTTAAAGTAGAGACACTACACACTGATATACACCTGAACATCAGCAGGAGAGGACTCTTTAAAGTAGAGACACTACATACTGATATACACCTGAACATCAGCAGGAGAGGACTCTTTAAAGTAGAGACACTACATACTGATATACACCTGAACATCAGCAGGAGAGGACTCTTTAAAGTAGAGACACTACATACTGATATACACCTGAGAAGGAGCAGAATATGTGAATGCAGATGTCACCTGCTGCGACTGCTGCTCCTCCTGAGGGGTTTCATAGGTTTTGCTGTGAGTGGGGAGGGTGGAGTGGGAGGCTGGAGGTTTGGAGAGCAGCGAGGATCCGGAGGGGGGGCCTTGGTTCTGAGAGGAGGAGCTGTGGTCGTGGAGGGAGGGGGGCAGCGGGCCCTGGTAGCTGTGCTGGTGGTGGAGCTGATGGTGCCTCTGCAGGACGAGCTGGCTGGGTCTCAGCGGCTGGGGGGAGGGCTGGGGGGAGGGAAGGGGGGAGGGAAGGGGGGAGGGCTGGAGGAGGGGCTGGGGTTGGCTGTGCTGCCGGGGAAGGTAGCAGGGGCGGGAATGCTGAGAGGGGCGCAGGGTGGTGTGAGCGTGGGAGAGGCGCGTGGACGTGGACGTGGTGTTCTGGAAGCGCTGGTGAGATGTCTCCCCTTCCTCTCGGTGGTGGATAGGGGAGCGGCTGGAGAGGAGGGTCCTGAGAGGGGGAGGAGGGGGAGGGATGATGGGGTGGTGAGGCTGGAAGGGCATCCGGCTGCGGGGGACGTGTTCGGGGGAGAATCGGACTGGAGGAAGGGGGTCGGTGAATTGCACAGGGGGCGGGATGAGACCCTGGAAAGGTGGAGGAGGCGGGGGGCTCTGGGTGGGAGGAGGAGGGATGGGTTCTGACCCGGAGGAGTAGGAGGGGGAGGAGGGGGAGGAGCTGCTGTGGTCCTCACTGCTGCCGCTGCTGAGCTGCCGGGGCATGAAGCCCACCTCCTGGTCCTCCTGGAAACTCATCTGGGGGGAGAGGAGCACCGTCACACTGATGATCGTAATGTCCATCTCCTCCAACACAAATAAAAGACTAAAAACTATGCATTATGATTTTTCTTTTTAGTTATACTTTTGCTTATCAGTTTTTCCCTCTACCTACTTATGGGACAGAAAGTACGGAAGCCCTGAGAGGCAACTGAGAATTATTTTTTTTCGGATACAAGTTGTTATCTCTGTGTTTATGATATAATAACCACAAAAAAAAGGTTTTGACAGTCGTGAAAGTGTTTTTGTTACACTCATTTTTAAATAGTTTGCTATAGGACTACATCGTTCATGTTTTGATCAACATATATATTTTTTGTGATTCCAAAATAAAAGTTGCCAAAATTAGTAATTTAGCACCAACTTGTTTTAATTATCCATCCTACAATAACCTGTCAAAACCCTTTTCTCTGGTCCACATACAATACAACTAAATAGGGGGAATTTAAAATGATATTATTCAACAACAAAAAACAAGTAATTGAGATCGGACTTATAAAATAGATCAACCAATGTTTTGCTTCTCAAGTATTCTGCAGCAAAGCCATACACAATTAAATTAAATATTTGTATCACATGCTCTTAAATATCAGACCGATCTATTCATAGAACTAAATAAAAGTGTTTACAGTAAAAAGCATAAAATATGTGCAACCCTTTTTTCTTTATCGTCTATTCTGCATCCCACTGAGTTATGTACGAAAAGTAGCAAACACGTCCCTGAAAGAGACAAAAGCCTTAATGTTTATTTGATGATTTAACGTCAGCCAGCATCTTATTATAACCTTAGATAAAATTAGACTCTACTGTATAAACTGAGTATTTACTTACAGACACCCCTCTTCTTCTGAAACCATGACAACCTCCTTCATATATCTGTTCATGTGACACAAGTGTTCATTGTAGCGTACATTAGAGTGGCTCTAATGTCAACATGCAGCACTACAACGTCATTCAAATGCATAGATATGCTAATTTCAGAAGCTATACAAGCAAATGCACAACAGTAACATTTCCGGTAAATGCTGCTATATGTAATATATTATCATTGCTGAAGTATTACATGTAGCAGCATTGCTTTAGCACATAACAGGAGGAAAATCACACCCAAAGAAATGTCACAATTCCTGGCCACGAAAGGAGAATATAGTAGTACTGGCATGAGATAGAGACTGTTAGTCATTCTGTTCACAATCTCCATGATACTAAGGTTTCATTTGCAAGTTGTATACAAAAATAGAGATATTAATATCCACAATATTCCCAGCCTCCTGATCTATACGAGTTACTAATTGCACCCATAATTCATGCAAGGTTTCAAGAAGTTAGGATTGATGAGATGTGAACTTTATACCATACAATAAGAATGAAAAATTCATATATTACAGTATTTCCTATTTTATTTAAGCTTTGGTTAGTTTGGATTTACCAACCTGAAACAAAAACAAAACAAACAAACACATCAAGTCAGCAGTAGACCAGCAAATTGGGTATTATACTGTAGGTGCTTAAATGAATAGTTGTGTCGATAGTCTGGTGTAGAAAGCTGTCTGGTGCAAAGTCAAATATGAACGCATTCTTAATTTACCTTACACTTAAAGTAGTATAGATTTTCTTTGAGGTGTTTACAATACATTTGCCTCCTGCCCTGTTCAAAGCAATACATATTTGCTTATGTGCAAGTACTTGTCTGTTTCTCTAAAATGTGGCGTGTCGATCCTTTGTCTACAGTAAGTCATATTCTGACTTTGGATAAGTACCTCGTACAACCCCAAATTATCCCTTGGATAATTTCTATAACAAGTAACAATGTACTCTATAATAGGGAACGACTACTAATGAGTCAAAGGGTACATTTTATGCTGTAAACTATTATTCATGTATTTAACACCTCCTACCTCCACTACACAGTGTCATCCATCAAATGAATGCATTTCAGCTATGTACTTTAAATAACCGCACTTAAACCAACCTGTACCATCCCTTTAATATAAAATCAAAGCATGTCGTCTATGCGTATTTATAACAACAGCTGATAATGCAGTATATCGTTCTTCCTCACCTCTTCGTAGTCGTTCTCCCCGTGTACGAAGTCGTCCACTAGAGTGACTCGGTGTCCCAGCTGCTCGCTCAGAGCGTCCAGGAACTTGTCGGTGTCCCGGCTGCGAGGCGGACGTGAGAACGTGAACAGTTTCTTGCGGCGGGTCAGCGTGTTCGGCCCTCCGTCCGAGTGAGGGGAGGCGGGGGGGCTCTCCAGACACACGTAGGGGTTGGAGTCCACGCTGCTCTGGTGGTGGATCTCGTACACCGGAGTGGGGAGAGGCTCCTTCCAGGACAGGGAGAGGCCGGATTTACGGTTACCTGTAGTAATAATAATAATAAAGCGTTATTTATATAGCACTTTTCATACAACACATGCAGCTCAAAGTGCAAAGTGATTATTTGTTAAGAACTTTAAAAGGTAACATTTTATCAGGTTAATAGACACAAGGAGGTCAAATGTATGATAATTAAAATAAAATAAAGTAAGATAAATAATGGTTTCTCTCCGACAGATAAGATACAAGACAACTGAATCGTTGCAACAATGTAAAATATAAAACCCCATCAAACTAAGTGAACATGTAGGTTCAACAGAAATACAAATAAAAAGATAATAGTAATACAAATGCCATAATTCTAATAAAGGTTAAACGATTAAGAAATAAAATGACCAACGTAAAAATAAATATTGCTATTGAAGAACATAAAAGAACATTTAAAGTGGAGGGTTGCTAAGAAAAAGCTAATCTAAAAATAAGTGTCCATGGAGTTTAAAAATGTCCACTGAGTTGGCCTCTCTGATATTTCCTGGTAGACGGGAATCAAAGATGGCATCAAGTCACTTGTGCTTTTGACGCTCAAGCGTTTCAACAAGAGTATAATTAAGTGATATATTGTGCTTCTTCATTACCTCAAGAAAATGTACGTGTTATATTTTAGGCCATGTTGTCGCCTTGGGGACCCTTGATAGGGAACCATGGAAACACATGGATTAACTGCAGGCTGGTTTGCACATATCAGGGTTCATACTTTTTTTCACCAATGATTTTCAACGACTTCTCCATGACCTTTACCTCATTTTCCATGACCAAACAAATTACTCTTTCTCAGCGGTACCACGGAAAATGGTTTATTTTAACATGGAACAGGAAAATAAGGTCTTCATATGAAACATGTCGTGCCTATCTAAAACAAATCAAATAGTAGGCTTACTAGCTTCTACACGCTAAAGCAACTAAAATCTCTCACCAGCAAAATACCGCAACAGTTAAATGCCATTTTACGTTTCATTACTATACGATACAGTATGTATTATCATTATAGTATTACTATTTCGGCGATTAGATAAAATATAAATTATATTTGTTGCAACTTTAGTTACATTTCCATGACTTTTCCAAAACTCTGGGAAAAATATTGTTTTCCAAAACTTTTCCAGGGCCTGGAATTTGCATTTAGAATTTCCATGACTTTTCCAGGTTTTTAATGACCGTAAGAACCCTGACATATAGGTGGAGATCACATTCAGTGGTTTTCTCTCATGCCATGTTCGCATCACATTGGGCAAAACCAACTCAGTTAAACATCCACAATGATGTTGTTAATGTTAAATCATCCATAAACACAAGGCTGGGGATGAGAGGGTTCATTTTTAAACGGACAGTTCAACAATAAATCCAAAATTACATATTTCTCTTATTACCTTTGGTGCTATTTATCAAACAAGATGTTTTTTCATGGGAGTTGCAGAGCTTTGGAGAAAATATATTTGAAAAACTCATAGTAAACAGCAATCTTTCTTAAGAGAAAGACGATCTACAGACCTCGTTGAATCAGTGACTGGGTCAGGATTTCTGAGAGGAGAAATTGCTGTGGAATTTTTTCAATTATTTTGTAGCTAAGACATCTTTATGGCCGACATCTCCAACATAACTCACACCAACCATTCAGATTGATAAAGAGCACTACAGGGAAGAGGAAAGTATTTGGTTTTTGAGTTTATTAACCATATGTGTGCCATTTTTAGTAGTTCAGTGGATCTTATGCCATGTTTGACTCTTGTTTTGGCTACTGTCCATCAAATTAACATGTACTGTATCCCCCATTCAGCAGCTTGTTTTTACGGCACATTTCACAGGATTTGAACATGGCCATTGAGGCTCAGAGATACCCAGTGTTCAAATATCAACAACTCATTCTGCAATTGCCTAGAATGAGTTGCCTATATATATTTGTATTTGTTTTCGGGATTGTGGGAAACGGTATTCCGATCTCTCTGTCTGTACACACAAACTGAAAGATTGACAATAAAGTTGACTTTGACTAAACGGCACATTGTTTAAGAACCACTGGTGAAAGCATCTGTCTGAAAGCTTGTGTGTAAATTAGGGTGATTGATGTGTGTGTCTGTGTGTGTGTGTGTGTGTGTGTGTGTGTGTGTGTGTGTGTGTGTGTGTGTGTGTGTGTGTGTGTGTGTGTGTGTGTGTGTGTGTGTGTGTGTGTGTGTGTGTGTGTGTGTGCAGTGTTTCCCCTAGGTTTACTGCTTTGGGGGGGTGCTGCCTGAGCGGGGGGGGGGGTCAAAAACACTAAACTCACAACTTAAAATGAAAGCGTTTAGTTTATTTAATAAAAGAGCACATGTTCAATGTGAAAAGTGACAGTAGATATAGATTATTTGCAATTTGGTTCCAAATAAATAAAAAAAAGAATAAAAAAAAGAATAAAAAATAAAGATTATAATTTTTTTTAAACACCTTGAATTTCAGGGGGGGCGCGGTGCTCCGTTGGCGGGGCGCAGCACCCCTCCAAGACAATGGTAGTGTGTGTGTGTGTGTGTGTGTGTGTGTGTGTGTGTGTGTGTGTGTGTGTGTGTGTGTGTGTGTGTGTGTGTGTGTGTGTGTGTATGTGTGTGTATGTGTGTGTGTGTGTGTGTGTGTGTGTGTGTGTGTGTGTGTGTGTGTGTGTGTGTGTGTGTGTGTGTGTGTGTGTGTGTGTGTGTGTGTGTGTGTGTGTGCTATTGTGTCTCGGGTGCCCCAGAGTACCTTTGAGAGGGGGGAGTGTGAGGGGGGAGAGCGGGCGCCCGTAGGCCTCGGTCTGTCCCGGGCCCTCGGGCTCTCCTGAGGAGCCCTGCAGCGCCGACACACTCTTTCCTGCGTAAACGTTCTCCAGCTCCGTGTAAACACCTGTCATCTACGGGTGGAGGCATGATCAGCTGTTAGCACACACATCGCTGCGCACATCCCCTTTGAAGGTCTGCTGGATTTTGCACTCACAGCACGAAATGTGCGTAAAACGAGCAGACCTTCAAATGATGTGAGGCCAGAAAGCACAGATAACATGAAAGCTAGCAGGTATACCTACATGGTTGAGGTCAGGGGACTCGGGGAAGGAGGTCCCGTCTCCTGACTGCCTCTCCTCCGGGCTCCCGGATTCATCCACATGTATTCCTAAAGCACAATAAGGCATGAAGAGTGACACATGGACTTCCATCCACCCTCCCAGAGAGGAGAGAGGATGAAGCAGAGGTAAACAAGGTGGTGGAGGAACAATGGCGATTGAAAAGCATGAATGAAATCTGCTGGAGATATTCACTACGTGTCCTTCAGAGAGCTTGAACATTCTAGAAAGCTGAGATATGAGGAGTTATTCTATGAATGTATGCCTCCATACATCCACAGAGGATTTACTGAGCACACTATCTTTCCAACAACAGTTAGAGACGTTCACACCTGGGAGCCGACAGGTGCAAACACTGCCTTATTAGTGACTGCGTTTCCGATGCCTTGCCTGAGGGAATATGAGCAGTTCAGTTCCTGCTGAAGGAAGCTGCTTTACTGTCTCAGATGTTCTTAGTCTGTCGAGTAATTCCACAAAAAATACGCTTAAATTATACTGAATCTATAGTGAAGATGAGTTTTTATTACAAAACCAAATAACTATTATTATATTATATATTAATTTTACCGTTTGAATTGTTGTTAAACCTTTAAAAACTGACTTTTTTGGGTCACCAGGGTGGAGTGGCAACAAGTTGTAACCACAACGCTGACGAATCATCACCGATAAAGTCAATATCGCGATAATATTCTGTAGCAATTAAAAAATAATTGTCCTAATATAAATGATCAACTGGGGAGCTTCACGGTTATATCAACAATTAGATGATATTGGTTTCCTCTTAAGAGAAACATATAATAATGTTGTCTCAGTTCAGGTAAACATTTCTTCATTTCCCATTTGGGGGAGAAGTTTTTGATCCAGAATGAAAAGCTATTGAAACCAAACCTGCGGGGATTACACAGATGTTATGTTAAAGTGAATCCTTCTTCTTGTGATTTGCAGCGTACCCATTCCCAGGTGAGTCCCGATGATGCAGTCGTCAGCGCTCCTCTCTCGGATCGGGTTGCGGAACGACGACCCCGAGACCCTCATGGAGCTGCTCCGCCGGTGGAGCTGCTCCGGGCTGACGCCAGGCTCCAAAACGGCTGCAAAACACACACATTTTTATGTTTTTGTAATTTTTTTATTTATTCATTATATATATTTTTTTAATTTAATTTAATCAACATTATTTATTTTTTTTGTGGTATTTTTCTATTTAAATCAGCATTTTTTCTATAATTGTATTCTATTTTAAAATGTAGCATCTGTCATGAAACCCAATTTCCCCTGAGAGAATAAAGTAATCTGATTCTGATGTTCTGATATTCAGCATTGCTTTTCCTTTTTGCAAATGATATGCACCTGCTCCTTTGTGTTAATTATAAAAAAAACAACCTTATAGTTAATCTAACACCAAGTTGTTGATAAAAAACACCTTGATTTTCAATTAAATCACACATTTTTAATTATGTTTTTCCACTTCACATGTTAGGAACCATCACCCATATCCAACAAGCATCTTATTGACTGAGTCCTGATACTGTTTCATTATTTCCACGATGTTTTTTGTGCCTCACCGCTGCTCTTGAAGCCCAGGAAGCGTGACAGTTTCCCCTGGCAACGCTCCTGCTCGTCGTACGTCAGGAGCTGGTAGATGAATTGCCAGATCAGCTGTTTGGCTGGAGTGTCCAACACTGGAAACACGTCGACAATCAGAGTGTCCACATTCCTGCAAACACACAGACACATGACATCAAGTCAAATTCCTCGTATGTGTAAACCTAGCTGGTAATAAACCTGATTCTGATTCTGACACACATCGTTATATAACCAAACCCCATGCTTACTGCAGGGTAATTCATTGCCACATGATGTAAGGATTTGGCATCCATAACGACACATAAAGCTGAGAATGTGTAAGAGAATATGAAAAGGTGGGAGGATAACAGGGATGACAGTAATGCCGTCAGGGGTTAGTACTGTAAGCACACAATCACATGTTTGCATGATATGCAAATCTCTATCCATGTCTTTCTCAACTCTTCACCCTCGAGAAAATGAAATCTAAACCTAATGGGAATCATCAACCCTCTGTTTAGCTTTGTGCATTTTTTTTGTCGTCGCTGCTTCGTGGTTTTGTATTCCTCTCTATTTTGCTGCATTAAGAGCTTTCTGCAGCCTGTTATATATCCAATATGGTAAAAAATAGTTTCCCAGGCAACAGCTACATTTCTGTCAATGTCAGCTATCGGGTTAATGGAGTTTGAAAAATGCTGAAAACTTTCAGTTATTTTCCTGCAGCCTCCTTCTATTTGGAGCTTACGTCATAATAAACTGATGTTTCCAAGTGAAGCTCCTTCGGGCTGTTCCTTCAGGATTTCTGACGATCACATTTCTGAAACAACATCTTTCTTCTCTCTATACAACATCCCTGAGCTCTTTTCCATCTGTTCAATATTGCATTATTGCAGATGTTCTTGTTTCTAACTCCTTAAAGAGGCCCTATTATGCTTTTTGGGCTTTTCCCTTTCCTGTAGTGTGTTACATAGGTTTTAGTGCATGTAAATGGTCTGCAAAAGAAGGGCGTTTCTCTCCCCCCCCTGCCTGCAACTCCCCCATTGGACTCCATTGTTAACTTCTGAAAAAGTGACAACATTACATAACACTCGTGCTTCTATTGGATAGCACTCCAACACATTGTGCGTGATAGGATAAGGGGCGGGACATCTCTAAGCGGTTGAACAATCACAACAGAGCCGGCCAGCTAACCAATCAGAGCAGACTGGGCTCTGGTTTCAGACAGAGGGTGAAAAGAGGTGCTGCAGCACAGGCAGTATGAGAGAAATAAAGAGCTTTTTGAACATTAAAGCATGGAGACATGTCACAGTAGAGACACTACATACTGATATGAACCTGAACATCAGCAGGAGAGGACTCTTTAAAGTAGAGACACTATATACTGATATAAATCTGAAAATGAGCATAATAGGGCCCCTTTAAACAGTACATCCTCTGCCCCACTACTCCCAGTTATAGACCCCCTCCTCCCCTCCTCCCCTATACTGACCTGTGCTGGAAGAAGGTCTCCAGGGACTTGCAGACGGTGTATCTCTCCTGGATGGTGAGCAGGTGCTCCAGCTGCTGGCTGAAGGTCCGCCCGTGGACTTTGATGCTCGGGGGGAGGATCTCTGCGACCCACTGCAGAGAGCTGAGGGCTGGAGACCTGCAAGGATTTAATTATACTTTAATTCCTACATTTATATTCACCAAATGATTGTTTCTCCTTCGTTCTGCAACACCCAGTCGTTTAACAGAGGGGTCTGAGGTTTGGTAGCGGATTTATGTGTTTCAATTTGATGTATGTTTATGATTTCTGCATACTTTATGTTATATCTTATTTATTTTTGACTTTTCTTTTGCCAACCCCCCACACTTTTGTTCTATTTTCTATCCATCCACCCTACACACTCCCCTCCAGACTGTGTGTTTAGATCACACACTGACACACAAACAAACAAACACACACACCAAGATCAAATCAACACAACACCTTACATAACCTTCTCTTATTGCCTGTCTAAATATTGATGACTGGCCTGTATTGACTTGTCTTCTTCTTGTTTTCCTGTTAGTGTTTGGCTTCCAAAGAATAATAGAGACTAAGGTTAGTGTGTGTCCCTGCAGACTAGGGGCTGCTGGGTAATGTCAAATCCAAATGTCAGGTGTGTTGTTGGAGTGTATTGACCTGGAGCGAGGCATGGTGGTGAGGGCTCGGCTCGGGGATTCCTCTGGGTCGTTTTGTTCTGAGGAGAACTCAGACGGCCCGTCCTCCACCACCAGAGTGGGCATCGCCCCGCTGCCCTGAAGCATGGACACCACCTTCTCATGGGAGCAGTTCCTGCAAAGAGAGAGAAAGGGACAGAAGTAAACAAATGGAGGGGCGGTGGTGGCGAAGTCGATAGGGAATTGGCTTGGCAACTGGAAGGTCACCAGTTCAAGTCCTGGCAAGACCAAGTGCTACCGAGGTGTCCCTGAGCAAGGCACCGTTCCCTACACTGCTCCCCGGGCGCTGTTCAAAATGGCAGCTCCTAACACTAGCATGGGTCAAATGCAGAGAAACAATTTCCCCACGGGGATTAATAAAAAGTATATCAAATCAAATCAATCTTTCAGTGTGTGTGTGCAGACAGGTCGATGGACTTTTGGCTTATTGAAGAAATTAAATCTATAAAACTCATGAAACCAAGGAATTGATATATCAAGGAGGTGCTTAACAATTTTGAGAAACGTGAAGAAATAAAATGATCAAATAATATACATTTTTAATATTGTTCTTTTTCCTGTTACGTTGTTTATCATCCTGCAACCCACAGTTGTTCAATTTCAGAATTAAATACAATAAAATAATGTTAATGTAAGCAAGCCCAGCAACAACATGGCTTCTCTGAAAGTCACTGTAAGGCTTACACTTATTATTCTTAAGTCAAATTATGGTTTAATGTAAACACAAGTTATTACATTTTTTGTTATCTTGAGAAAATGTGCTTTCATAATGTCAATAATGAGGTGATTAGCTCATGATCTTGAGATAACATGATTAAGAAATGGGATTTACCGGGATGTAAAACACCTGAGATAAGGAGCAAAGAAATCTCTGTTCATAGAAACCGTTCACCATCTGCTCTCTTCATAAACACGACACTGATAGCTCCGACCCGTCTTGTTCTTTATTTTATTCCTCCCTCTGGTGAACAACTCCCACAGTTTTGCCGATCACCTCCTACTGCTGCAGCACCGTGTTATCAGGCAAAGCAGCAAAATTATACAGCGTCAATCAAACCCGTACATCAGGCAGCCATGGGAACAGATTCTGCTCCCACATGGCGGCTATCGGGGTGGTGCAACGAGCCACACTGAGACTTCACACAGCACTGGCTCATGAATAGCTTCATAAACTGTGTTTTCTGAGTTCATAAAAGTACAATTCACTCTGATACACCCTGGATTTCTTCTCTGCGATCCCACATACACTAACAAATCTAAAGGCAGGAGGTCAACAAGTTTTAAAGTCCACACAAGAACGATGACCACTCCTACAAAACGTTTTTTAAATAAAGGCTGTGGTTAAAGGTGAAGACAGTGGGTGCGTTTCACTTCGGTTAAATGGATTCCTTGCGTCCCTCACTTGCATCATTTCCCTGCGACTAGTCCCTCCCACCAGGGAAGCATGGAGAGACGCAAGGAAACCACGAGAAGCAGGGAAATGAGTTTTAAGAGCAACGGGACGTCGTTTCCTCCGGAGCGTCACGTGAAGCGACGTCCGTTTGTGATGACGCCGCACAGCTGATCGTCTGACAGCAGCCAGATCAGTGCATGCGCTGCATCGTCCAATCAGTGAGCGATACACAGTAAGGGGGCGGGGCGAGTGTCTGAGGATTTCACCGGAGGATGGTCTGGTAGTTCCTCGATTATCGCTCCTCCGTTATCACTCCTCGATCCTCCGGCAAAGATAAGGCCACTGGGACGGTACTCAAGATGGCGCAGACAAATCAACTTCCGGTGATACTGAGACCGAGGAGCGAGGAAATGAAAAATAACCGAAGTGAGACGCACCCAGTGACTTTCAGAATAGTCTGACATATTGGACATTTCTCACATAAGTCCTGGCAGAAAAGCACATTTTCCAAAATGTTGAATATTTATCAGCTGTTTGATTTTTCCCACAGTATTTGACAACTATGTTCATGATTTAATTGCATGTTAATACTAGCACTTTCTATAACGCTCGTGCCTCTAATGTATTAATAACATGTTATATTTGCTGATAGCACTGTAGGTTTGAAGACAAAAGCACTCATAAATAATGATAATAATCACAGGTCTTCAAGACAGTAAAATATACAGCGACATAAAGTCGAAAGTAGAGATTGTTCCAGGTATTTTCTGTAGTTTGAGACGGATTTGTTTTTAGCTAGAATTGTTGGGTAAACAAAACGTGTGTGTCTTGCAATGATTTCATATTATATTTTATTTATAAAAATACTACGGTATCAGTTTATTTCATTGTACTTGTTTCTACAATAAGTAAAATACATTGGAGAGTAGGGACAGACAAAGTACAACTAAAACTACTGCTTAAATACAAAATAATAATAAGTATAACAAAAGAAAGAAAAAGAATCGTAGCATGAAAAAAAGATTATAATAATAATATTGTTTTTCATTGAAGACAAACCTCATGTCCAGTCCGTTCAGGAAGAGGATGCGGTCGCCTGTTTTCAGTCCACATTCCTCCGCAGGACTGTCTACAAGAGACAGGAAAGATGGCAGAAAATCAAACATCAATCAGGGTTTTTAAAAAAAAAGGTTCCTGGCTAACAAGGTGCGCTGAACAGATGGAAGATGGTGACTAATGTGATTCTGTCAGTCTGACATCCAACATAATGAGATGATCTTCATGCTTAATTGTCATTACGTAAGGAAGCAGTGCTGTCAAAACAACCCGCTCCGACTGCACCGTCCTCCTCGTCAACTCACTGCTGGATTTCACTCACAATGAATCATGTTTGTTTTCTTTACCTCAAACCTGGAAATAACAAGCTGTTTAATTACGCAAAACTCACTTCACTTTGAATTACTGTATAACTCTGTACAATCCAGCAAGTTAAGCTGATGCTTTTATCTCAACCTATAGAAGATATCCTGCGTTAGCTTTCAATAGCAAAACACTTTAGGTGTTACATAAATCATTACATAAATCATTATTTATGTAACATTGTTGGCCAAGGTGCAGTCAAAACAGATGAGTTTGAGTCTGCGATTGAAGATTAATATAATTATAGATATTAAACACGACTGTATATGTTGTAATATTCATGTTTTTATAGATACTAATATATTTAAACATTTTTAAAAGTTCAAATTCAATTTTCTAATTTTTACTTTTAGTCCTCTATGTTGATTTTAATATATATATTTATTTATTGTATTCTCAAATAGAGCAACCGTTAGAAAATCTAATTTCCACCCACTATATTATTATTATAATTATATTTTTACAAGTTGAAATTTCTATATTGTTATATATTTAATATATTTGTTTCTTTTATAGAATTTTTCTACGAATTTACAAATATTTCACTTTGTTTTTTATTATTTTTTATTGATTTTTCTATTTCACTCTAAAATGGAGCACCTGTGATCAAATCTATTTTACCCCTGGGATAAAAAAAACATGTCTGATTCTGTTAGAGTTAGGATCTGTGTTTAGATGAGAGGCTCTGCACCCCCTCCTTCTCCATATCGTCCTCCATAAGGCCCACTGAGTCAGCGCTGCCGCTTCAGCACATGATGGTAGGAGATAAGGGTGGGCGGGAACAGTGCCGTCATCACACACTCTCACACACACACACACCTCCCCCATCACCACTGAGGAACCTGGCAAACCCCCTCACCAGTAAGTTCACAGCCTCTCATGTCTGGTGCTTTTGTTTGGGAGAGCAATAACAGTCAATTAAAAAACATTTTACTGCTGGAAATGAAAGAAAATGGAAGTAATTAATATGCTCACTAGAAGCTCTTTCGCCAACTAATATATAGAGTTTTATTTTCTGTGAATAATATCTCTGGTAAAAATGGTGTTTTACCACAGAGGAGATACACCAACACAAATTATTGATCAAATAATAAACTAGAAAATTGAACAACAAAGTGCAAATCTCTTCTAGGTGTATCTATAATATCTATCTACCATAAAAACTTGAATGTCACTTAATTGTCCCTACCGCATCCCTTAAAGGGGCCCTGTGATTAATCCCAAAGTTCCATCAGGAAGGAGTTTCTGGTGACATCACTCTGTAACACTTGTGCTTCTATTGGCTAGCGGTCCAACAAATTGTATACCAATTGATGACCATGTATATATTAGACATCTCTAAGCGGTTGACCAATCACAACAGAGCCGGCTAGCTAACCAATCAGAGCAGACTGGGCTCTGGTTTCAGACAGAGGGTGAAAAGAGGTGCTGCAGCACAGGCAGTATGAGAAAAATAAAGGTTTTTGTTGAACATTAAAGCATGGAGACATGTAGAGACACTACATACTGATATACACCTGAACATCAGCAGGAGAGGACTCTTTAAAGTAGAGACACTACATACTGATATACACCTGAACATCAGCAGGAGAGAACTCTTTAAAGTAGAGACAATACATACTGATGTACACCTGAACATCAGCAGGAGAGGACTCTTTAAAGTAGAGACGCTACATACTGATATACACCTGAACATCAGCAGGAGAGGACTCTTTAAAGTAGAGACGCTACATACTGATATACACCTGAACATCAGCAGGAGAGAACTCTTTAAAGTAGAGACAATACATACTGATATATACCTGGACATCAGCAGGAGAGGACTCTTTAAAGTAGAGACACTACATACTGATATACACCTGAACATCAGCAGGAGAGGACTCTTTAAAGTAGAGACACTACATACTGATATACACCTGGACATCAGCAGGAGAGGACTCTTTAAAATGTGTTTATTTAGGCATTTTGAATCTCTGCAAACATAAGAGATCCTTGAGCAAACAGTTATTTAAGAGCAGCTAATTATAAGGGTCCATATTAGCGTCCATTAAAGATAGAAAGAGGTAATCGGGCTGAAAACAAGGACCCTTTTCTGAGATGCTGTGAAGAAAAAGTATCAGTAATCAAATGATGTATAAAAGTGTGACGGATGTGACTAAAGTGCATGATAAGTATGAACATGAGATCAAATTATGTCATTTCTAATTAAAAACCACCCCGGTTTATTTTATACCTCGTTTGTAATATTGCATCGTGACTCAATTTACAACAATTTGTATTGAACATGAAAATAAACATGATGCTTAAAGTGTTTGTTCCTGCACAGAACAGCCTGTGCTGAGTGTTTTCCTATCATCCTTTTGTTGTTGGTGAGTCACGTTTATATATACACACACACACTGGGTCAAGCACCACACACACACTCTCACACACACAGAGGAGGACTCCATCAGGAGTGTGTACCTGAGATCACGGAGTCGAGGCAGACGGGGGCGTGGCCTCGCAGCGTGAAGCCGAAGTTCTTCTTCCCCCGATAAACACGAACGATCCTGAGGAAACAGATTCACAATCAGATTTTTTTTTAAATTTATCTTACATTTTTAGGGGCGAAATTGGGTTTTATGGAAGTTCCTCTTATTAAATAAAATAAATAAATACATTTATACAAGAAACAGGAGATACATTATTACATAAAAGCTTAACAGAGAGAATCATGACATATTTTTGTATTTACTTTTCGAGATAATGTTGTTTGTTTCCCACAATTTATTTTATTTTATGCTAAGAGCTTTTCCTATTTCTTCTGTTTTTTGTACCTTCTCTGCGGGAGATCAAATTGAATCAAGGATTATTATTATTATAATAAAGGATTAAACAAGGATTCCAAACAGCGTCATGAAAAGTATTCTTGATTTAAGACTTGTTTTATTCTACGTTATTATCAACATTTGACTTCTTTTAACATCCTATTTGTATCAATCACTTTTAAAGCAAGTGCATTTCATTGGCCCAAAAGGTGCTATATAAATCAAGTTTGATTGAGTGATTAAAATGTCAGCAAAAATCCCAAATTACCAAATATATTTAATTCAGAATGATAGAACAGACAGGTGGGAACGCCTCACTTTTGAGAGCTTGAGATTAAACAATTAATTATAACAATAGTTTCCAGCATGAATCGTGAAGTCCTTTAACTTTTCAGATGCTTAACATCCTTCGTGTGTTTGGGAGGGTTCACTCTCTGCTGTTTACAAGACTGATTGTGTTTTCATTTGTCTCTTTCTGTAGGTGGGAGTCTGGTCTAGAAACAAATAAGAATTTAGGAAAGGACATTCTTGTTATTAAAGCGTTGACATTTTGCTGATGGTGGTGCTTTGCTACGCCCCTCCCCAGTGGAGGAGTACAAGCAGAAACCTCCCGTTAAGATGAGACACTTATGGTTTCTATCCACCAGCGCGTTGCCTTGGAAACCGCTAAAGGGTACACTGCTTCGATATGTAAACAGGGGGAAGACAACAACAACAAAAACGCGGGGGGGTAAACAGACAGAGCCGTCCTTTGATAGACTACTGGCTGTTATGCAAGACCAGCTAAATGCAGATGGGTGTGCGTGTGTGTGTGTGTGTGTGTGTGTGTGTGTCAGCAGTGAACACTTAACAGAGAGACTTTCAGGCTGCTCAATGCCTCTCCTGATTCCCTTCTTTCGACACCAGCTGTTTCTACAAGTTGACATGATTCCACCCAGACATTTTGCAAAGGATTTTATTTATAACAACCCAAATTACACAATCAGTCACTTTATAACGAAACCACTGAGTGTGCAATATGACAAATGACTACAGCAGCAGGGAATCCATTTTTTTTTAAAAAGCTGTTATCTTGAGATCACAAGTTAAATATTTTTGTTTACTCGAGATAACAAATACAGTTTTCTCTGGTTAATTTATGTCTATTATTAAGACATCAAAAGTCAGATTTAAATGAGATAAGTAGTCATTGTAGTTGTATGAGGAGAGAAAGGAAACAGTAGCCTAATCAGCACCATGAGCCATGGACAGCTCAGATTAAAGAGGCTCCATTGTGATCATTTCCAGGTGTATATCAGTATGTAGTGTCTCTACTTTAAAGAGTCCTCTCCTGCTGATGTTCAGGTGTATATCAGTATGTAGTGTCTCTACTTTAAAGAGTCCTCTCCTGCTGATGTTCAGGTGTATATCAGTATGTAGTGTCTCTACTTTAAAGAGTCCTCTCCTGCTGATGTTCAGGTGTATATCAGTAGTGTCTCTACTTTAAAGAGTCCTCTCCTGCTGATGTTCAGGTGTATATCAGTATGTAGTGTCTCTACTTTAAAGAGTCCTCTCCTGCTGATGTTCAGGTGTATATCAGTATGTAGTGTCTCTACTTTAAAGAGTCCTCTCCTGCTGATGTTCAGGTGTATATCAGTATGTAGTGTCTCTACTTTAAAGAGTCCTCTCCTGCTGATGTTCAGGTGTATATCAGTATGTAGTGTACTCTACTTTAAAGAGTCCTCTCCTGCTGATGTTCAGGTGTATATCAGTATGTAGTGTACTCTACTTTAAAGAGTCCTCTCCTGCTGATGTTCAGGTGTATATCAGTATGTAGTGACTCTACTTTAAAGAGTCCTCTCCTGCTGATGTTCAGGTGTATATCAGTATGTAGTGACTCTACTTTAAAGAGTCCTCTCCTGCTGATGTTCAGGTGTATATCAGTATTTAGTGACTCTACTTTAAAGAGTCCTCTCCTGCTGATGTTCAGGTGTATATCAGTATGTAGTGTCTCTACTTTAAAGAGTCCTCTCCTGCTGATGTTCAGGTGTATATCAGTATGTAGTGTCTCTACTTTAAAGAGTCCTCTCCTGCTAATGTTCAGGTGTATATCAGTATGTAGTGTCTCTACTTTAAAGAGTCCTCTCCTGCTGATGTTCAGGTGTATATCAGTGTGTAGTGTCTCTACATGTCTCCATGCTTTAATGTTCAAAAAGCTCCTTATTTTTCTCACACTGCCTGTGCTGCAGCACCTCTTTTCACCCTCTGTCTGAAACCAGAGCCCTGTCTGCTCTGATTGGTTAGCTGGCCGCCTCTGTTGTGATTGGTCAACCGCTTAGAGATGTCCCGCACCTTAGCCTATCACGTACAATGTGTTGGAGCGTTAGCCAATAGTAATGAGTGTTACAAAGTGATGTCACTATGTTACATAAGTAAACAAAGGAGATTTTAGCCTTTAGAAACCATTTACTGTAGTGTCAAACATGTAAGGATAGCCATGTATATATAGCTTTGTCTCTAAGTGTCTATCTATCCGGATCTATTCCTCTCTCCATCAATCAATCCCAATTTGTCTTCTTTTAAAATCTCTTCTCGATCTGTATATCAAATTTCTCCTACAAAGACTGACCTGAATGTTATCCATCAATCTATCTCTGTTGTGTCTCCTTCTATTTCTTCTCTATCGCTATATTTTACCTTATTTTTTGAATATCTATTAATCTTCAACTCTGTCTCTTTCTCAATCTATTTTCTTTCTCCATTTAAGTCTAGTTTCTTACACTGGGAGAGACCGCAGTGTTGCACAATACTCTAGAGAGGGGTGTTATTTGAGTTTAGCATGCTTTTGTGACGGTGCCTTTTACACCACATGACGTCAGCTCCTGTCTCATTTCACACAATCAGTCTGCCTGCTATTGTAGTGAGACCTGTCGGTATTATCACACTTGACATATTCATATATCCTGAGTGAGTGGACGGAGAGACAGATCTCAGGGTTTAGATGGTGTGGGCGTGCACTGCCACCCGGACTGTAATCCTACACTAAGTCCACTGTGGTGTTATTAAGTGGACAGTCGTGTAATCAGTGTGTAAGTGGATGGAGGATAACATGAGAGGGTGAACGGTCAGGAGCTCTACAACAGTGCAGGATTAACACGTTGAATAGATGAAGGGATTTCAGGAGGGGAGGTAGTTTCAGTTTTTAAAAGATCTGGTTATTTGGCTTAATAAAAACTGCGCTTGAGGTCTTTGTAACATGTGTCGTAGGGTTTGAAAACGTCTTCTTTTACACACGGATTTGGGGTTTCCTAAGGTCAGCTAGCGAGTAGACGCCGAGGAAAACGTGAGGTAAAAGATGAAAGAATCTGAAGATGACAGGAAAACAGGAAGGATGGAACAGAGACACACTGTTGTCTGTTCTAGTTATATTTTTAAGACATAATGCTTAAGAGTGTCTGCATAATAAAGTGCATTTTTGACATAACGAAAATGAGACGGTTGCTGTTTTTCATCCTTTAGTTATGCACGGGGACCTTTCGATTCACGATGACCTCATTGAAGATAGTTTGTCTTCCTCTAAAAAAGGATGTTTACTAAAAAACAATTCTCCTATGTGTGAAAAAGATTGTTTTCCATGAAAATTAAAGTGATCCAAGTTTGTTTAAGGGTTCATTTGGATTAAGATTGGGATATCACGATCAGGATAAGCATGACATTCATTTTTGATATGATCCCATTCCCTGTGGAAATGAACCTGTGGATTACCTGATGTCAACACTAATCAGATCCTAACGGCCATAAGACTGTTGAACACCTGAACTAGAACATCCATAACATTCACCTGTTTGCAACTTACAACTTATGTATCTAATATATCATATTTCAATTAATTGTATTGCACTATTTCTATTCTATTTTATTTCTATTCACTTGCACTATTGTATCTGTTTTATTGTGTTGCACTGTTGGAGGAGCCTGTGACCTAAGATCTCCATCGACATAACTACACTGTCGCTACGTACGAATGACAATAAATGCCTTGAATCTTGAATCTAACAAAAAGAACATGTGTGCTCACCTCTGATTGGGTCCGAGGGGGGGATGTGGCGGTATCCCCGAGCTGGACTTCCTTACCCCCCGGTCCCTCTCCCTCTCCGTCTCCCCTTTCCCCCCTGGTTCCCCATCTCTTGGCACCGAGCTGGCCCGTTTGGACCCGTGGTGCCGGTCCGAATGATCCTCGCTCCGACTCCTCCGGATCCTTCCTTGCGGCTCGCTGATGCTCTTGCTGCGACAGAGCCGGTTGATCACGTTCTGGGACACGGACTCGTCGAAACGCTGCCGGTGTTTCTTGGGAATGAAGATTCTGGCAAACATGGTGGCATGTGAGGGGGGGGATAAAGAGGGCGACTGTTAGTTTTTTGTCCTCAAGAGTTTAAAAAAAAAAAGGTAAGAGTATGGATCTACATCACAGATCCGCCTCAATCCATTTCGGAAAACACAAGACCTCAGATTTTCCCGGTGAAATAAGAGTTTTTAAGTCAGAAAATCCAGCTTGAGCAGATTCTAAAAAGTGATTATCTTTGAAGTCCACTCTAATTCAATTCAACAGGCTTGAAGACGGACAGCTGACGGGTTTCTCCCTCTGGACTTGAGTCCCCAGAGACGAGAAAAGAAGAGAAGCTGAAGAGGAAGCCGGAGATAAAAGATCTTTCTCTGAGACAGTGAGGAAATGTTGCTGTCCCTCGCTGCCTGCCGGAGTCTCACTGCAGCAGCGTGCAGCACCAGAGCCAGAATACAGCGAGAGGGAAAAGGTGTGGGAGTGGGCGAGCATGGGATTTCTCTCTCTCTCTATCTCCCTCTCTATCTTTCTCTCACTCTCTCCCACACTTCCGTCCACGCTTCACCTCTGTGTCACTCTGTCAGTGTGAGCACCGAGCAGAAAGCTGTCATCATCGTACTGAACTCACACCTTACCATTCTGACAATGAAACACTCAATGTGCAACAAATCCAAATTTCTTTAAGCTTTAAGAGGACTAGGAAAGAATGCCTAATCAAATCAGTGGGTGGATATGTTTCAGTTTGAATAATTATTCTGATTTAAATTGAGAGTCTGGTATATTTCCAACAGCTTCAGTTCTTAATGGAAAAAGCTCAGCTGTTGACATTTTCACAACATACTAACAACGAGGAGAACAAACACTGGAAGCTCCGTTTCCTTATATTTTCTTAAAGAGGTAGTCCAGAGATTGAGTAAAGTACTTCATAACGTTAAGTAAGACAAACTTTAAAAACAAACAGTCAAAATTGGTACAGAAAAAGCAGATATGTCTGACTTGTAGTCCCAACAATGCTGGATCCTACAATTCCCATGATGCAACTGGAATTATTTAAAGCGGCGAAGTCCCTCCCCTTCCGGGGGACCTCCATGGGACCTTATTTCGGAAAAAGTATGTATTGAAGTCAATGGAGAGAGAAAGATTATCTTTTGATCCCGTTTGAATTGTGCAACGAATTACACATATGATGTTTGTCAATTTAAAAGATAATTTTGCAAGTCAAACAAATAAAAATGTGCCGTAAAACTGTGAAGTAACACATTTTTTTGTGTGAAACGCTCAATGAACTACAACTGTGGTCTTGCACACGTCACCAACACCAAGATGGCCGTCACGTTAGCACATTTCACCTCTTTCTTTCAGAATGAAGCGAAAAGTATTAAAAGAGGTGAAAATCACTACAAGTCTGGCCAAGTTGAGAGCTGTACATACACACAAGGGGAGTTAGTCGGTTCCAGCATGCGGGACCGGCTTTACAAGGTTTCGGTGAGTAACACGAGTGTAATGTGTAACGTTAATGTCAGCTAACTAAATTCACTTACTCTGGGATTTGTAGTCTTTCTAGTTGCGTATTTTTCATAGTCTTATATTTCAACAGTTTTAAGACAAACTGTGACTTTTTTGACATGGACATTTTTTTTTAAGATTGACAAACATCATATGTGTAATTCGTGGCACAATTCAAACGGGATCGAAAGATAATCTTTCTCTCCCCATTGACTTCAATACATAATTTTTCAGAAATAAGGTCCCATGGGGTGGAAGTAGATGGGCGTGACTTCGCCTCTCTATAATGCTTTCTGGGGTTTCCCTTTCCTGTAGTGTTATATAAGTTTTAGTGCATGTAAATGATCTGCAAAGGTTGAAATCCTAAACCCTCCAGAGGGAGTTTCGAGAATATATGTAACACTAGCACTCCTATTGGCTAATGCTCCAACACATTGAACGTGATAAGGGGCTAAGGGGCGGGACATTTCTAAGCGGTTGACCAATCGCAACAGAGCCGGCCAGCTAACCAATCAGAGCAGACTGAGCTCTGGTTTCAGACAGAGGTGAAAAGAGGTTCTGCAGCACAGGCAGTAGGAGAAAAATAAAGAGCCTTTTGAACATTAAAGCCCATAATTTGTAAAAAATAAGTTTTGAATGGCTGCACAGTTACAGAAGAGACTCTCATCTAACTCTGGGCAAGCAAACAAATAAGTGAATTTTCATTTTCTTCATTAAAGTGCCTTATCTTACAAGTCTACCATCAGTCTGTGATGAATTGCAGATAGTTATTTACTCTGTTAGCTTTACTCAAGAATCATATCATTCATTTGTCTCCATTGCAATCGTGTCAATTAGGGTTCAGGGACTAAAGAACAAAAGACTCAGAAATGCAGTTACATCACTATTTGTGCCCACATAGAAAAAGTGTTTATGGTAAGGCATTAGAGCAATTTAAGATAAATGTGAGAGAGCGTGGATATCCTCATAGGTATAATTATACAACGTCTGAGTGAATGCCTGTGTGGACGGCTGCCTTGTCTCTTTGCAGCAGTTCTGATCACTGAATGAAATGTTTTCTCTTGTCCTTGTGTGTGGGTGACGACTCATTTTGTTTTGTTCCCATTGTTTGTTTGTTGATTGTTACGCAGCCAGCCCTCAGTATGAAACAGCATGTACAGTACAGTATGCTCTCCCCCCCCCCCCCCCCCCCCGGTTTTACTTTTTGCTAGTTTATTGTGCCACAAAATCCATGTTTACTGTTCTACTTCTCGTTTTTTGTGAACAGAATGTATTGGAAACACAGCGTTTCAGATTAATTTAAGTCAGACTTGTCGTGTTGTTAACATATTCTTTCAAAAGATAGTTTACAATTAAATCACAATTTCTCACATTCTTTTATTTCCGACTTGAGTAAAATACTATGAATTGCTCTTTTCAAAGTAAGGTATCATAAAAATAGGTAATTCTTGTTATTGCTACCAAAGTAAGGTATCATAATTGCACTAATAATAACATTTCTTTACACAGTTTTGGTGGCTTTTTGGCATTCCATTTATACAGCAGTGGTTTTCAACCTTAATTCAAGTTCCCATCCCGCAGAATTATCAAGTTAATATTTGCTAATACCACATATGAATTGCTCATAAACTGTATGAAGATAAAGCAATAGATGCACAATATGCAGGCCATTGGTCGAATACATTGTTGTGTCTTAGGTGCTGTTTACATGGGAACGAAACGGGTTGTATCCGCTACTTTTCTCTTTCGTATAGCTCGTTCGTTTACACGAGGCCGTAACGGAACCGCGGAAACGGACCCCTAAAATGATAACAGGTTCCAAGGTAGATAGATCTGCGGCGAGAACGCTCTGGGGGGCCAAACGGCTCCGTGTGTACGTCCTATATGGTAATTTTCCTGATAACGATGAAGCCATAGCCCCTCCTCTCCCCACTTCTGCTTCTCACTGCTGTAGCATGGTCAGTAGCTACTGCTACTGACCATGCTACAGATGTTAGAGCAAAATCTACAGCTCCTCTACCACAACCATCAGCAACAAGTGGACATGGAGAACTACATGAACTACATGTTGCTAAATCCACCGCGGAGAATAAACAGAAGGGCAACCAGGCTCGGGGTCTTCTTTGCTGCTTTTAGTGTATTTTGTGGCGCCACTTACAGGCCCGGCATATGTACTACAGCGTCTCCAGCGCTTTCGAGCGGTCTCGTGTGAACGGAATACTTTTTTGATATCGTATTCGGTTCGTTTGCGCTTCGTATGCGTTTGCGTGTAAATGGGATCTTATAATGTCGGCATTTGATTACTGTAAGCCTGACAGCTAATCAAGTGGGCGTTTGTGCTGTGAAAGGGTTAAATGAGCGTGGCTTAATTAGGGTGCTTGTGTAGGTGTGACACCATCCATTGTGTTAAAAACTCAGGGGGTGGAGGAGATCGATAGACAAACAGAAAACACCACATCAAGGTTTCAGCTGGGTCTCTGCGTGAAAATGGTCTGCAAAGGCAAACATCTTGGTCCAACAGCTAAACTGAGCCACTGACAGTTCTTTATTAAATCAACAGTTTGACTTTTTGGCAAATAATCCTTTTTGCTTTATTTCCAATAGTTAGATAAGAAGATTAATATCCATTTCAGACGGAGTAAAGATGGTATCAATCTTAGCGTTTAACTTTTGGCAGGAAGAATAAATAAGAGTATTCTGAAAAATGTCAAACGATTGCTTTAGTCCCAGTAAACTTTAGTGTAAAACTGACTCAAATCATCTCATTTTGGAATAAAACAAGAGCCTGAATCTAAATGAAGTGTGAACATTTTAGACTGCACTTGTTAATGTGAATGAAAGAGAACCAAACCCCAGCTGACACATGGAGCGAGTCAGAAGTTAATCATTTGATTCCATGTTTGCTGAATCACAGCGGCATTAACATCCAGCTGAGTGTTTGGATTCGCACATACTCCGACATGGGAAAAACATCACCAGTTGAGTAATTAGAAACAAACACGCCACTGAAGTCAAGAGAGAGACAGCAGCTACGGCACGTCCTGAAGAAGCGAATTAAGAGGCGTAAAAACAACTTCGACAGCTAAATAAAGCAATTAGGACACACTTATTGCACAGAGACACGGATAGAGAGAGGGAACAGCCGCAGAGTGATTGTGATGCCCCACCACGGTTCATTTCATTATCTGGAGTTATGAAAAGCTGTTCAGGTACATATAGAGGACCTTAAGACCTGTGCTGTTATTGCTAATGCCTAGTGGGGGGTAATGAAGTCCCACTTGCATGCGGATATTAAAGGTCACGGCTTCTGTTAACAACGCTGGTGTGAAGAGATCATTGAATAAACAGCACACCTTATCTTCTCTCTTTATAGCTGAACACATAGAGGTATTTTAAGATAGGCGTAGTAAGGAGTTCATTAGAGCCGGAACATGCTGTCATTTTCATGCTGATGTTAAGAAAACTGTATAAAGATGTAACAGAAGAAATTCTGATCCTTACAATATGAGGGTTGCTTT